ACCAAAATGTGGTCATATCCTATCATTTGTGGGTTTTGTTTTTCTAGCTGTCAAATAATACAGCACACTTTGTATGAGGCTCTCTGTTGCTTAAATAATAAAGAGGAAAAATAAATAAGTAAAAGCCACAGCATTCGCGTATTCACTAATGAAATTTATGCAGGTGGAAAGCCTGCCATGTTGCATGGCTGGAAAATACTGAGAATTGCCCCTTGCTCAGATTTACAGTGGTTTTGTTGATCAGCAGAGCCTAGGCAGGCAGGGCTAGGGCTGGGTCTACCTGAAAAACAGGGAAGGAAGACAACATTCCACATGTGGGAGGAAACAGCATGTGGATACATATGCCACCACCTATGCCAGTCTTCCATTGGCAGGTCCACTGCAGAGATGTCTCTAGCTGTTCCCAAAACCTCCAGGGAAGGAGACAGCACATGAAAAAAAAATAGACTATTGGCCTGGAATAAGAGCATGGCTTTGATGGGTTCATTTCTACCCCCATTGCCACCTCGTTGCAATTACAAAAACAACCTTGAACCCTAATTGTGGCTTGGCGAAAAGTTATTCATATTGAGGAAGGGAGCCCCATTAGCGTGGACATGGTGACCCTCCTGCTGCAGAGAGAAGGGAGCAGGACTGGGACAGCCCTGGGCACCAGCAGGGGATGTGACAGAGCCGCTGATGCCACAAGACACTTGGTGCCAAACTGCTCCCTCACAGCACTGTGATTTTCTATCTTCACTCACGACGGATAAAGACGGTGGCTCAGGTCTATAGGTCTTGGAGACAATGGGCTCCTTCTGCACCTGCTTTCCCTCCTCTGATGGAGCTTTCCCACTTCTACCCCATCCCTTGACCCTGACTGTGTCCCAGCCATCTCCTAGATACATCTCCCATCCTACCCCTGGCAGTAGCTCTTCCCAGGGAACATTCTGCCTGTTACCCTGAGAAGCTATGGAGATCCACAGATCGTGTTTGGAGAGGCAGGACAATGCAGAAAGGGAGGGAAGAAGGTATATGAAAAAAAATGTTGAAGAAGGGAAACTATTTAGAATGATTTCTGTCCTTATTAGGGTAAACAGATCTCAAAATATTTTTTTTCCCCTGAGTTCTGAGAGCGCATACCCAGACCATGAAAGGTTTTAGGTAAATAAAGATTCAGAGTCCTATCACCTGCAGAAGCAGAACGGTAGCCAGGAACACAACATAGAGCAAAGAAGCCCATGGGCTCTGCCTAACGCTGCAACAAGCTTCCCCACAGCTTCGCACCTATGCAAACTGCCCGCCAAAATGCGAGAAGCTCAAGAGAAACAAATTCCTTTCACAACGTGGCATCAGGAACAAGGGGCTGAACTGAAACGATAATTGAGTTTTAGAGATCCATCCATTTTCTGTCATCATGCCATCTGTCTCCCTGGCAGATTCCTGATAGTTTGCATTGGCAGCTTTGATTGCCAAAGTTCATGTATTAAGTTAGAGTTACCTTCTCTTCCACACACGATTTGTTATTTTTTATAGGTTTGCTGTTCCAGAAGATTGACAGAACTGCAGGGTACAATGTATTCCTAGAAGCACAATATATTCTGACATTTTTTTTTAGGTAGAAAGAAAAAGAAGGTAGAAATCTTCCGTGGAAGAGACCTGAGCGACAGCTACTCAGACTTGCCAGCCACTTGGCAATTAAGACACTCATATAGGACATGGGACATCATAATTTTCTAGGAGCAGCAAGATGAATGCTTTGCCTTGTGACTTGCAACAGCTTGTGGAGACTAAGTCCATCAGAGACATGCATATTTTTTAGGGACTAACGAGAGCTAAAGACGATTACAACTGCGATATATGTGTTAAGTGTTTGCTACCACCAGAATAATAAATTAAAATCTGTGGAGGCCTTGTGAGGGCAGTACCCCCGGGGCAGGTTCCAAGTTATTGCATTACTGTCATAGCTACTCACTGCAAAACACCTTTGACTAAAAGCTAATATGATGCCTAGCATAACTCTGCTGACTCTCCTGGAATTACACCGGTGATTAATGTGGTCCCGCAAGGTATGAAAGAGGTTATAAAACGATTATATTTCATTTATTTACTCAGAGCACAACTTTAACTGCAGCAGTGAATGATGAGGGAGTTGCCTGTGATACTCTATGAAGTTATGTTCCCATCTGCTCCTTTGATTGGGAGCCTGTTTTGTGATACACAAAAACATGAGGGGCTAATTCCAGCAGGAGTTAATTCACACTGGGCAGGAAGATAGAAAACCACTCCTGACAGTCCATTTACTGAGACATGCACAATAATGTGAGGTGCTATTTGGTCTCCCATCCTCCCTTTGGGTTGGCTGTGCAATAAATTGTGGCCAAATGAGAGACATGGGATTTCAGGGGTTAGTTTCCTTTTCTGCTTCAGGGCAAATGGAGGGACATTTCAAAGTTCCTCATAAGCATCCAGAGCAAGAGAGCCCAGTTTGGTAAATGGGTCGGCCCTGAGGGCTCTTGCCGAGGATGTAGAGCACTCCAGTCTGGGTTGCTGCCACTGTCCTGCTGTGTGACAGTCCTGCCACTTAAGTGCAGGACCAATCTCTGCTTCCCAGTCAGGATGAGTTGCTCCATTCTGCAAATAGTAACTACAAGTGGTTGAGAGGAAAGGGCTGACTCCCTCCTTCCACTGCTGTGGCACGTGATTGGGATGGTAGAGATCCCAGAGCAAGTCCATGCTCCAGTAAATACACAATTATTCAACAGCTTAGGGAGAAGATACCTGAGAGAGAGCTGCTCCAAATGGCCATCCAGTGGGCAATTAAGACCCTCTATGTGACACGGGACATCACAATTCAAGCAGATAGCCTAAACTGGGATGCTTTGAACTTTGTTTTCCTATGAAACATGTAAATACTCTAATCCATGGACTATTCCACTGAGGAAGGCAATTGCTAATGAGGGACGTCCTGAATAGAAAGGTACCTCCAGTAAATGTTACTCAGTAAGGAGCAGCATTTAGTGGTCTCTGCCTGAAGGAACCTTGTTAAATTTAAGAAGATGGCATCAATTCTAATGCCTGTGGCACCATCAGTGAGGATGTGGGATAATCCTGACTTTATAATGTAGGTCTTTTCCCCAGAGAGTTTCATAGATGTGACCATTCCAGAAACGTAATCAAACCGCTACAGATGCCAACATTTTGCTCACTCTATGAATATCAAGAGTCCCAATGAAAGTAATGGGCTTACTGATGTGTAGAGCATAAACAGGATTTTGTCCTTCACAATAGCACTTGTCCACCTCCAAAACATGGTGCATTCAAAGCACTTATAGATTGCAGAAACACAAAACCACAGAAAGTTTTAGATTGGAGACCCAAGTTCCCAAGACCTACCCCCACCTTAAAAAAGGGCCAAATTCAAAGTTAGTTCAGGTTGAGCCCAGCCTTGGCCAGCAGAATTTGGAGCATCTCCAAGGATGGAAATGTCACCACTTCTCTGGGCCCATGTCAGTATTTGTCTCTTGCTGTGTCCGTGCTTGTCCTGTGCGTCCCTAAGCAGAGCTTGCCTCCACCTTCTCTGTTTTCCCATTGGGGAGCTGAAGGCAGCACTAAGATTTGTCCCTTGAATTTGTCTTGTTTGAGATGGAAAAAGCCAGTTCTCTCAGCTCCTTTTATATATCCATTTTTCTTTTAAGAGTTCATTGGTGTGCTTCTTCCTAAAGCAAAAGAACTAACCTGAAGCAGGCACTCCTCACTCTGCAGTTAATTCTGGGCTTCATAGGACTCCCCAGGAAGGGTCCACGCAACAAACCCCCCTATGCCCTAGGAGCTGCTGACTGGTACGATCAATTGAATGATAATCAGGGATGTCTGGGACCACACAGACCAGGAATTTTAAATCAGGCAGCCTGATGAGCGCACGCAAAGCCAGCTCGTCCTTTGAGTTGCAAGCAAAGAGATACCCATGGAGACCTTGCCTAAGGACTGCTGATGAGGCAAGGGCCAGAGCAGGGCCAAGGAAGGAGTAAAACAGGGGAGATGCACAACAGAGCCTATGCCCTTGCTCTGCTTAGTTTACAACAACAGACACGGCCAAAAAGTGATGGGGCCAACACCTCCAGAAATGACAGAAATTCCCCAATTTTTTTTTTTTTTTTTTTTTTTTTGCACCTGCTCTCTCACATTTCGCTCCATAGCATCATCTCCTTTAATTAGCTCCCTGCACGGTGCCAGCGTGCGGCCCCCTCGCCCTCCCATGCCCGCCCGGGTGGCAGCCAGAGGCTCCTCGGAAACGTTATCGCCCCCGGACCCTCCACAGGAGCCAGTGCCGGGCAGGGCGAGCGCAGCGGGAGGCTGCTGCAAGGACTGAGCCTTGCAGGGAGCCAACCTGCTTGGTGGCATCTGCCGCGAGGCCCGGGCTGCCGCTTGGGAGCGCAGGCAGCAGCAGGAAAGGAGCACGAGATGCTCGTGCAGGAGGCATCCGCCAACACGCAGCTTATTTGGAATAAAACCCCAGCTCGCAAGTTGGGGAACGAGGAAGTGCAAGTTCGCGGAGAAACCGCCCCCGCCGCGTTGCGGCCGCCGCTGCCAGGTCCCGGTTCCGGGGAGCCCGGGGCAGCCCGGCAGCCGGAGCCGCCCGCGGTACTTTGGTTCCCGGCGGTAACTTTCCGTCCCCGCGCGGAGGAGCCTCCGCAGCCGAGCCCCGCGCGACATGACTAAGCAGAGCCCGAGCCCCGGCGCCCGCCGCCGCCTCCGCCTCACCTGCCGGCCCCGGCGCCGCCGCGGCTGCTGCGAAGG